GGGTCACACGAGTAAAAAGAGTACCACACACGTGAGTTTGCGCGTCGTGTGAATCCCCTATTAGACAAGTTCATCTACTACCGGTAAGATGAAAATCATTTAGGGTACTGATTTCCAATGAATGGACTGTAGTAATGTTTTTTCGAGATACTGATGGATTTGCTCTCTCGTTAAAACGCTAAACTTTGTGCCCCATTAGAGATTCTACTCTTTTACTGTTTAACAGTACCAATGCTGGTAGTATGCTGAATCATACCTGCAGGACAAACTGCTCCATGAACTTTCTGCGCAGATAAATCAATGAATGTTGCCCTTTGAGTAGCTACTTCAGTCACCTACAGAACAAACAGAAAAGAAACCAGCTTCAAATTCTACAATCTACACCTGTGAATAATCACTATGCTAATCGATGTACAAGCTCTCAATATAGCCAGAGTAAAGTGCCTTCGGAGCTCCCTTTCTCTCTCTCTCTCTCTCTCTCTCTCTCTCTCTCTCTCTCTCTCTCTCTCTCTCTCTCTCTCTCTCTCTCCTCCCTCCCTCTCCCTCTCCCCCCCCCTCTCTCTCTCTCTCTCCCTCCCTCCCTCCCTCCCTCACACACACACACACACACACACACACACACACACACACACACACACACACACACACACACACACACACACACACACACACACACACACACACACACACACACACACACACACACACACACACACACACACACACACACACACACACACACACACACACACACACACACACACACACACACACACACACACACACACACACACACACACACACACACACACACACACACACACACACACACACACACACACACACACACACACACACACACACACACACACACACACACACACACACACACACACACACACACACACACACACACACACACACACACACACACACACACACACACACACACACACACACACACACACACACACACACACACACACACACACACACACACACACACACACACACACACACACACACACACACACACACACACACACACACACACACACACACACACACACACACACACACACACACACACACACACACACACACACACACACACACACACACACACACACACACACACACACACACACACACACACACACACACACACACACACACACACACACACACACACACACACACACACACACACACACACACACACACACACACACACACACACACACACACACACACACACACACACAGCTCTGTTCTCAAGGAGCCATAGAATTGCATTCTGGATAGTGTTGACAGTTGTGCTAAGGACAGACTCAGTGTCAGTAAGTCGCGGAAGGACAGGCGGGATGCGGATCTTAGTAGATGAATTTTTAATCCACCATTCCCAGTTTGTAAGGCTGGGTGGGGTTGTGAGCAGGCTTTCATTTCATCTTGTCTTTTTCTTTCCTATTCTTTCTGCTTTCATCTCTACAAAGTTTCTGCGTATTTAGCATGTTATAGAGGCATACAGTACCTTACACCAACCCACTTGGCCTCAAAACATGATGGAGAAGGGGCCTAGGTGATGGCCACTCATGCGGTAACCATAACGCTGTATTTGATAGTAGTACAATATACAATACATGTAGGGGAGACGGAAAATTAAAAAACTATTCCCATGATACTTCACTATCAAAGTGACATGTCTGGCTTATTGGCAGACTGTACATATGGGTACGCATATAGGCCAGATTGTACAGATGTTTTAGCAATGTACTGTATTGTATTGTGCTTTATGATAAACAGTATATTTACCTCTGCCATACTAGGCATACTAGGCTACACTCAATGGGCCAATGTCAATTAAGACGCGATATGCCATAACAGTAAAAACACATCCACAGGAGCTGAATACATTTGTAGGTGCTATGATCCTTACCACAAGATGGTACTTGTCATCAGCTTTCTCAGATTTCTTATCACTGCTCGTAGTAATCTGGGCATGGTATCGATTGTCCGGTGAGAAGCTGGCAATTACACTGGATGGTCAACAAACACATGCATTTAGATCAACACACCTCAATTAACATGCCATACTGGTTAAACAACACTCAACACAGTCATATGACAACTGATGCACACTTGCTTCCACACAAACACATGCATGCAAAACAACCCGATAACATACAATGTATACTGGTATACCACACAAAGGCCGAGCGTATTCCTGTAGAAGCCGATGTCAGGGTTAGGCTTCTATTCAAACTTGGTAGTTCAATGTTTGTCAACACTAAAACCAGGCATACGTGCCGACGGTCCATCTTGAAAATCAGGTATTCAAAACAGGCTTCCATAAGAGACTGGCTTTAATACAAGGCAGTAGTGGATATCACGGCATGAACTGTGCTACTGTACTACATGAACACTGCAATTTTATTTAGAAAAAGGGCAGTGAAGGTGGCAGCACTGAGTAGTCAAGACACCATGGTCTGACACCACAGACACACAGTACACAAGCAACATTCAAAGCATCGTGACTGACCATTGACTTGAAGCAGAGCTGTTTGAACCACCGAAGAAGACTTCAGGCTCAGTGATTTCCTGCTGGCCTAGGAGCTTTGTTCGAAACATGACATTGCTAGTAACCTTAAGGCCGTCTTCACTTTGGTAGAGTGACTGACTGGTCTGAGCTCGAATAGTCAGGTTATCTCCGTCAAGGAAAACACGGCCCTCTGTTGGAGAAGAGTAGTCGGTAGCATTTAGCCACGCTGCACGCGCTGAAGATTTAAAGGACTAACATCACAAACACACACGTGCACATGCACACAAACATACATACACACCACATGCACACCGCATGCACACACACACGCGCGCAGAACACACACACACACCTCAGACCTCAGACCTGCCCATCGCAGAAGCAATGATAGTGAACAGCTGTTTGACATAGCAACTTGTGCTGGGATTACACCATTCTACAGCTTGCAAGGCTGATGAATTGACCGCCACTAATTTTAGCCTGGTATTCACCACACAGCTGATTGAAGTGGCTTTTTCTGGCCAGTGAATCCCTATTTTTCATTTTTTCATTCATTTTTTTCTTTTCGGCACACACACCACACCACATGCTCCGGCATACACTGGTTGTTGGTAACCACCCAGGAGAATGAAAGAAGAGCTAGGAAAAACACACACACACACACACGCACACACGCACGCGTGCGCACACACCCACACGTGCGCACGCACACACACACACAGTACACGTACAAGCAATATTAGTATGATTACTCAATCTCTGGACAGCTCAACATTTCCACCCTGTGAAGTCACACCGGATGAGCTCAAAGTACTTTTAGTAGACACTACTTTCTCCGCAGTAGGTAGGAAGGTGATAAAAAAGTCGGAAGAAAGCAGGAGAACTGTGAGAAAGGTAAATGATTTTAATGCACATGAATTCATGGCAATGAGCTGTTTTCAACAAAATATCTTACATGTGAAATCATAATAATAATAATAATAATAATAATAATAATAATAATGACAGTTCGCATTTCACTCATTGCATGAGGTCAACGCATCTGTTAACAATTTCGAGCCAAGCAGCTCTATCAGAAGCAGATTGCACAGCATCCAGAAGCGACAGATTAATGCATTGTAAGTCTTTCTTGACAACGTCGATCCATCTCAGACGTGGTCGTCCTCGGGGTCGTCGTATGTCTGTTGTGTTGATTGACATTAGGAGGGCTTGGAACGAGGACGATTCTTCGCCTTCCCTCACTACATGGCCGAACCATAGCAGTCTCCGTTGCCTGCAGACTTGGGATAGTGGGGTCTGCTCGGTTCTGGCATACAGCGCTGTGTTCGAGATTCGTTGTGGGTACGTGATACCAATGATGGTACGTAGTTTCTTCCGGTGCCATACATTGACGACGTCGGTTAATGTTTGCGATAAGGTCCAAAGCGCACAATTATACAGCAAGACAGGCAATATCAGGCAGGAAAACATACACAGCCTGGAATTCAGGTTGTGGCGTTTCCATGGAATGCTTGCAAATGCCCGATTTGCAGCAGACACTCTGGCTGCTATGTCTTCTGCTGTGCCTAGCATACTCCCCAGCAGCTTCACCGATTTCCAGGAATCATCTTCCTTGGTCACAGTGAAATATTGAGTTTTTGCCACGTTCAGCTTCAGATTGTCATCCGAGAAAACGGGTTCACACACACGGACGGTTTCTTCCACAGATGATCGCTCGTTCTGATGGGCAGTGGTGTCGTCTGCGTATTGTGTGAAAGTTGCTGGTAGGTCTGACGCGGGTAGAGCTTGCTCTCGGATCTTACGCATGGAACCTTCGGCGTAAGTTATAAACATTATTGGTGAGATTGGGTCACCCTGGACGACGCCGATGTTCGTTGGAAATGGTTTGCTTAGTTGTTTACCAAGCTTCGTGCGGGCTGTTGTGTTTGATACTAGGACTGCAGTGGTGGACGTTGGTGCGCCAGCAGTGGCTAACCTCTCCAGAGCAACCTGACGAATGACAGTGTCAAACGCACCACTGAAGTCCAATAGTGCCGATGAATATGACCAGTCGCCAAGTAGTGCGCGCTCACACATCGTCCTGGCGTAAAAGACACCATCCGTGGTCGATCTGCCAGGGCGGAAACCAGCTTGGCTCTCTGCCACATATGACTGCACATGGAGTGTGTGTCGTCGGGTGAGTATTGACGTCAAGATCTTACGGACGACGGAAAGGAGCATAACGGGGCGGTAGCTTTTTGGATGTCCTAGAGGCTTGCCGGCTTTGTAGATGGGAACGATGAGGCCGCAGCGCATGTCGTCAGGACAGTACTCTGTAGCTTGAACAGCATTGAAGAAATTCGTCAGCCAGGGTGCGAAATCATAAATTATTTCATAATTAGAAATTTCTTCCACGACCAATCTGTCAACATGATTCAACGACAATGCAAACCTCGAGCTACGAGCATACACCTGATTCGTATTACGCGTAGATAGGAAATAGTCCAACAGTGGACAGAAAGGCTCAGTGGTTGTAACTCAGAGTTTCATGCATAACAGTGCAAACATCAGATAGGAAATATGTAGATAGGAAATGCTCAATCTCCGGACATCTAGCTGTTTCCATCCTGTTAGATCTCGTCAGCAGAGCTCAGAGTTACTGGCCAAACTGATCGCAATGACCTCCAATGAACGACATGTCGACAAAGCATTTTTAAACGGGCTCAAAACATCAAAGTCAGAGTACTCTGAGATAAACACAGTGAGCTTTGCACGAGGGCAGACAACTTTGACGCTAACCAGAAAGAGTGCTCATCCAAGCGGATGCGAAGGAGCGTAATAGTTAGGATATGTGTGGAATTCCTGCTGATTGGTAATGCAATGGACTGAGATCTCCAAAAGCAATTATTCGCTCAAATACCACATCAAAGAACAAAAAAAAGTCTACTATTCTCCACCTATCAGCCAAACATGTCAAAACATCAAGTTTTGTTTTGCAAGGTTGTCAATACTCTCCAAGATGTCCTAGCTTTCTTCAGGCACAGCTGGTTCAGGCAGGATTGCGCTCACAGCCAGATGTGCCATTTTCGCCAACTGATGTGTCCTCGCATATTCGTGCCCCGGGTTTTGTACTTCCAGTAGTACCATTTTCAACCTTCAAATTTGATATTTCCTATTCGACTATTCTTGGAGCACTGTTAGATCAAGCAAATTTGAACAATTAAATATTCGTTACATCCTTGCTGCTGATAATTCAAAGTTAGCAAAGCACAATTTGAAATTCATTGTAAACTCTACTTTAGGCCACATCAAGTTAATTCTATGTTTCGCGTCGGACATTTTATGGAAAAGGCAAGCGGGCGGGCGGAAAAAAAACAAAAACAGAGGAAAAACAAACTCCATTCTATGTGTACTGAGCCATGTTGCTCACAGAATAGCACTTGTGACTTCTAAACTGTCACTAATACCCAAAACAACAACAAGTCGCCACAGGACAGCGGGCAGACTGCGCTGGAGCGATACGATAACAAATTTCATGGATGGCTCCTTCTGGACTTTCACATGAATCGAGTGGAATTCCGCTCCATCACGTTAGCAAAAGAAAAGCCATCGATTGACTTGTCTCGGATCTTTTTTTTTCTTGTCAAAGATTCGAAAAGGTACGCGTGCGGTAACGCGAAACATAGAAATAACTTGGTGTGTGTGTGTGTGTGTGTGTGTGTGTGTGTGAGAGAGAGAGAGAGAGAGAGAGAGAGAGAGAGAGAGAGAGAGAGAGAGAGAGAGAGAGAGAGAGAGAGAGAGAGAGAGAGAGAGAGAGAAAATGAGAAAGAGAGAGAGAGAGAGAGAAAGAAAGAGAGAGAAAGAAAGAGAGAGAGAGAGAGAGAGAGAGAGAGAGAGAGACAGAGAGAGAGGGAGAGAGTTATGAGTAACATCAAATTCACTCGAAAATAGAATAGGAAAGCCTGGCTTGTTCAAGAGCAAGTTGACTACCGGTACAACACCAGTAATACAAAATTGAACATATTATTGCCATATTTTCGCGAATAGGTGCCGTACGTACATGCAAATTAAAGCTGCGGTGCGAACCAGCAGATTTGCCACAAGTGCCATATATTTTCTACCGCCGCGACGCATACTATCATAGCCTAGGCCATGGAATGCTGAATCCTTACGTGTACAGTGTGTGTCTAGCGTGCACAATTTTGCTTTCAATTGTTACGGTGTGGTATACCGTAAAATCCCGGCGCCGGTATGGCACCTCGTCTCTCCCATCCGCCCCTCCCTGACTTCTTGTCAGGGAAGTGATTGATTGTATCCTCGTATGACTCTGTGATGCCGTACTGTACTGCAGACGGGTGCTCGATCCTGTTGGAAATGTACGCAGCAGTGCCCACCCTGTTGACCAGGGATCGCACAAACTCTGAGTTTTGATGGGTCTGTACGACCCTTGACTCTTGACCTTTGGTCGGTGTACGAGATGCACGGACAGTTTTCGTAGGGTGAGTACTTTTCATGTAGTGCTGATTGCGGTAAGTAGGACTCGCCCATCCGCCCCTCCCCACCTGGACCTACTCGAAGGGTGGCGGAGGTAGGGGCGCTCCGGCGGGATTTTACGGTAATGCCAATATGCCATTACTGTACTACTCTCCTCAACTGTAATACCTCAATGAAGGCTGTAATATTTAAGTAATTGTTTGCCACGCTTGATTATGGCGCCTACCATTGACTTTATGGTGCAATCCTGGGCATGCATCTAACCGCCTCGGCGCTAATTCGCGAAAATATTGTACAATTTTGTGTTGGCATAATATCTCGATGCAAAATGAATATCTCTACTCACGCTCGGCTCCTCTTCGAACGGCCAGCCATGGTTCATTGTGGCCGAGGCTTACGTTCAGGCGACAATTCGTGAGTTAGTTCTTCGTCACTGAACAAGCACCGCTGATGACTGAGCTCTGCGACAAGTAACTACACGACTTCAGCTGAGCAGAATCAGCAAGCTTTATTTTTTACATCCTTTTGGGCCAGTTTCTCGACATCGTGAATTTTTGAAAATTTGAATCAAGGCTGGCCTGGCTAGCCGGCTGGCTGTATGCATGCAACGCGAACAAGGCTAAAAAGGTAACTTTTAGATCGTGTGTTCTTGCCCAGCTACTTTGAAGAATGTAGCTTTTTCCAGCTAATGTCGGCGCTTTTTGGAACTGATTCCATCATGCCAGTGATAGACACCTGGAGAGAGAGACTGGTGATATCGCAGCGGAATTTGAATCGAAATTGATAATTTGTAGAGCTGTAGAGAGTGTGTTCGCTCTCCAGTCAGCAGCGAGAGGGCAGCTGGCGCTCAGTCGCCAAGGCTACTGGAATTCATCATCTTGCTTCATCCAATGACTGTTTCTAATCCTCTCTCCCACTACCCTTGCGGTGGCTGTGAGTAGATCAACCAAAAATGATTATGGATTTCAAATATTATTCTAGCTTTATTATTTAAAACTGGGTGGCCCTCCTAGTCTTACCCAGGTTTAGTATTTCACGTGACCCACTTTCACTTCACAAAAGTATAACTATAAGGTAGATAGATCTACATGTGATAATTTTGTCATTCTGATCAGTTGAAATGGGAATGGGATAAACTTAAAATTCAAGGTAAACAGTCCGAGGAAGCGAACTCCCAGAAAAACGGAACAATGCCGACCCCACTAGGCTGTCCCCGGGGAAAATTGCAATTCCGCGGCCGCGTTTTTTTCCGCGTTTTTTGCGATTTTTTAAAAGACCGCGTTTTCCGCGATTTTCCCGCGTTTTTTGAACTTTTTTGTTGCACTACACGTACACACAGTGCACTGTTCGGTCAGCAACGTCTCATCGTGGCGGCTTTTTACTCAAATATGACGAGTGCTTACACCAGAGACTTGTAACTGATTGATTTCACTACATACTCACTGAAAATTGCCGCACATCAATATTATTCACCGCATGTTTACCGCAAATTCACCGCAAATTATGCCATATTATGCCGCGTTTTTCCCCGCGTTTTTTGCGATTTTTTTCCGCAATTTTCCCCGGGGACAGACTAGGACCCGAACCTGGGGGGACCTTGCCAGTCATGAGCAATGTTCTAACCGTCTGAGCTATGGGACCAGGCCAAACCCAGAAGGCGCTGACAAGTGTTTCAGTCCAAAGGCAGCTCGCAACACATGCCATACATACTGATGTCACTCACCTGTAGGTCTTTTCCCTACCCCGGGGGACCAACCGCAGTCAGTCTCTTTTCCCTACCCCGGGGGACCAACCGCGGTCAGTCTCTTTTCCCTACCCCGGGGGACCAACCGCGGTCAGTCTCTTTTCCCTACCCCGGGGGACCAACCGCAGTCAGTCTCTTTTCCCTACCCCGGGGGACCAACCGCGGTCAGTCTCTGGTCTTTTCCCTACCCCGGGGGACCAACCGCGGTCAGTCTCTGGAACGTACTACCAGAGGTGCAAGAAAGTGATCAATCGAAATGGGATAAACTTCAAATCTGGTAGTTCACTTCCCCTGTCTGTTTACCTTGAAGTCTGATCAGCACAAGTACTTGACCTGTCCCCACAGAATACCGCGGACAAAATCCTATTATTATGCGCATAATTACGCGGGCAAAAACAGGTCATCATGTGACAGTTATGCGGGATTGTGTGGTATCATGCGGTCATTATGCAAGAGTTATCTGTCACTGGTACAACTAGCGTACAGTTTCATGCAAGCATACAACTTTGTCGCACAAACTCATCGGCGAGTACGACTTTGTTGTACATTTTCCCATCATGTACTATTTTCTTGTACATTCCCCTTAGGGCCTTCGATAATGCGGGTTTTATGCAAAATCTCTCGAAAACGCAGATAAAAGCCAATAACGCGGAAAATTGGACATCCGCAGAATCGCGTTATTCTGTGTGGACAGCTTAACACTGCATACACCTACCGGCATGCTATTTGAAGAAAGGCAGCTGCACTCCGAGGATTGTACCACTTACGGCCAAATTTCTCCTCACAAGTACTGACTACTGTAGAAGGGATCAGGGATTTCCTATCTCTCTCTCTATCTCTCTCTCTATCTCTCTCTCTCTCTCTCTCTCTCTCTCTCTCTCTCTCTCTCTCTCTCTCTCTCTCTCTCTCTCTCTCTCTCTCTCTCTCTCTCTCTCCCTTTCGCTCCCTCTCTCTCTCTCTCTCTCTCTCTCTCTCTCTCTCTCTCTCTCTCTCTCTCTCTCTCTCTCTCTCTCTCTCTCTCTCTCTCTCTCCCTTTCGCTCCCTCTCGCTCTCTCTCTCTCTCTCTCTCTCCCCCCCTCTCTCTCTCTCTCTCTCACACACACACACACACACACACACACACACACACACACACACACACACACACACACACACACACACACACACACACACACACACACACACACACAGGGTCTGAACCGGGGCACAGCCCCATATGCTGCTTCATATGGTCCCAAGACCGGGGCTCTATGAACCAGTTTATGGTTGCAGTCAGGAACACCGTTTTCCATACAGTGTGTCCTCTGCCTGATTCTATGCTGTCATTATCATACATGGTAGACTGTAGAATAGCACAGGTGCGGCTCCTTGCATCATTGGTAAAGAGCAGAAAAAACCTGAAATAGTACTCAATATACTGTGTTCTCGTAGCTAGAGTGTTACATTGCTAGGGTCCCTGAATCAGCCACGCAATGATAACAGAGTGAAGGGAAAACTCCGCGACTGAATCCCAAATCAGTGCACATTTCATTAGGTGACCAATCAACATAATTTCAGCCAGCTGGAGCAATGAACGGTCTTGTAGTGCAATGCTGTATATGATGTCATGGTTATTATCAGTATTGGTTTCAAGTTCTCAAGAGAAATATCGTGCAACAAAATTAATGGTCCTCGCATTTGACTTGAACAGCTAGCGCAAGTCCACAGAGATCAAGAGAGACAATGCAGAAAGTCCAAAATGATCTGTGCCTGAACAAAGCAATCTTTACCGAATCTTCATCTCCCTTTGGAGTGTGTACATGAACGAGACACCATTCCATGTACACATTGTACATGTCTGCATAAACGCACGCGTGCACACACACACACACATACATACACGCAAGCATACATGCACGTATGCGTGCATGCATGAACAGGCATGTGCACATACATAGCGGTGCTTGCAATTTGATTTTAGCAAATTGGCCAATGATAATATTACGCAAATATTGTATACACCATTTCAATCTCAATAGTATCTGCTCGTTTCAGCATTGATCCATTTCCTTGTGGTAATCTTCCCTTGCCCATAGTCAATGTGATATTCTGCACTCCAATCCGGAAAGCTTCACAACGGATGCGGACCATGTAACCTTATCACGGTAATAATTATTTACCAACAGTCAAGTTATGTTATTCAAGGCAGTTCTTGCTCAGATCAAGTCAACTCTACAAATAATAGGATTGATGCTGGACTCGGACTCATGTTGGGAGCCTGATATGCTCGGACTGCTGCCACTGTGCTCCTCCAGCTGCCTCTAGTGTTGCTGGCTTCGCTGCTGCTGGTGCTGTTTCTGCGATTGCTGAGGCTTCATACGCGGCTTCTGGCCATAGTGGGTAATTCATGAAGTTAGCCGCATGACCAGTGCTTCAAAGCTCAGTGTTAAGTCTCGGTATGCACTGGGAATGCTGGCCGGTCCTCCGGCTTGATTGACAAAGTAGCGACATGCTGCACGTAGGTAGGGTGGCACGGCTACAGGAAGCATACTGGTGTCCAGGTAGACGGGGATAATGTTCTTCACACGATGCTTATCGGTTTTCAGACCGTCAATTATGCGGCACTCGTGTGCTGCTAGGGGGTCAAGATCATCAAGATCAGATGCTGAATATCCATGTGTCTGCACCGGGGTCGGGTGGGCATCATCATTGCAGACTCGTACAGTAGATTCAGTTTGACATGCATACGGGGAAAGCTGCCTTTCTTCCTTGTAGCGCTGTAGCAAGAGTAGCTTCTGCATACGTTCCTTGTTGGATCTCTCCACATGTGCTAGATCTTGGCCATTGCAGGTTACGGGGACGTTAGCTGTACTGAAGTAATCTACCTGGTCGATGATCTGCTGTTGCTGATGGAGAGTGTCGTTGATTTGATGAGGAGCACTGAATGGTACCCCAACACTTGATTTCTGCTGCTGATGTTGCTTGAGGTGCTGTTGTTGCTGGTAGAGTTGCAGTTGGCATTCCCCTTGGTACTGCTGCTCATTTATCTGCTGTTGCTGGAGTTGCTCTTGACGACATTGCTGCTGCTGCTGCTGTTTATTGTGCAGGTGAGCCAGCTTTGGACGATCTGAACAGCAGTGTGGATAATAGCTAGATATTACAACGAGGATATGCCGACTTAGCTCCATTTGACCTTCAATCCACCCAGTGACATTTTGACAGTATGTCTCATCATGCTGGTTGAACTCAAAGCTTGCGATGTTGACGTTCAGTCCTCTTTCTTGGAGTTGCCTTGCTAGCCTTTCTGCTCTTTCCAAGTTTGAGTCTGGATAACGAGCAAAGCTGATATACACACTGTGCTCTGGCAATGATAGAGCTGGCGCTGGTGCTGGTGGTTTCGTGGCTAATCGAAAACGTTCGTCAATCTGTACTGAGGTTTCCAAGTACTCCTGACTTCCTGTAAATTGATTGTAATAATGCAAGGAAATGAGTAAAACAGAAACAAATGCCAATGCAGCTCTCAGTTGGGGACATTGCAATCATGTAATGTATGTTTACATCCCTCCTCCCCTGCCCTTACAAACGGCGTTGTTTCTATTCCTGCACTGCGCCGTTGTTTCTATTCCTGCACTGCGCCGTTGTTTCTATTCCTGCACTGCGCCGTTGTTTCTATTCCTGCACTGCGCCGTTGTTTCTATTCCTGCACTGCGCCGTTGTTTCTATTCCTGCACTGCGCCGTTAGTATAGTACTATTGTAATTTCACTAATTTTCCGTGTACTTTGATTTTCGGTACTTTCGGTGCGTCTGTTTCATACCTCAAATTTCAATACACCGAACAAACACTAACACACATAATCCAATAGGAACTGCTTCTCTGTACCGAAAATTTCTGTTCACCTAACCTGGCCTTTTGCCCTCATACCGAAAATATTGAGCACCGAAAATTTCTGAAATTAGAGTATACACAGCGCTCATTGGTGACTTAAGCTTCAGTCCAACTCCTCCCCATCACGAGCGGTTCTTTCAGCTGCAAGCTAAGGTGTTCTGCACACCTGCCAACCTCGAATTCATTTGTGGTAGGGAGATCCCCCCCTCCAGGTTGGGCTGCCAGTACTAGGCCCAACAAGCAGGGATTACAAATAGGCATGCTTATTTATGTAAGTACAGTTGACCGTGCATAGAAAAAGAGTGCCAGTCACGACACCAGCGCTGAGTACACCACTGTACATGCATGGTTGGCACACTTCCCACAAAATCTTTGCCGGCCCAGGTAGGGAGGTTTTCAATTCTGATGGGGAGATAGGGAGATGTTTCAAAAACATCAACCTGAATAGAGAGCCGGATTTGCCACCTCTGGTTTCGTTGCTATTCTTTTGTGACCATGCTAACTGTTGCAACGTCCATGCAAAAGCAGACCACATTTGGTGTCTGGAATGCAGAGAAACTCAAACCAGGCCTTGGACACAGGTGTTCTACCATTATGGGATGGAATGACCAGATGTTGAGATAGTCTTATCGCACGAATGCAGTGCTCTAAATCGGAATAGTTTTTGGCTAGCCCACCATATGCAGGACTACTTATCAGTGTACAGTTCAAATTGAGTCACCTGTAGTTCATGAACTGCAACGGCAGGACATAATCAACAATAACTTACCAATACTTGTGACAGTTGTGTCATCGTCCACTGCATGTGACTTTTTTTCATGAGAATGGTCATAACTTTTCCTTGCAGAACCTTGACACAACATCAACAAAAAGTGGAGGAAACACACAAAGGAACATTTTGATCAGATTCGAAATCACATCGCATTACTGCACACCGCTGCACAGGGTTTGCTGTGTACACTGTGGTAGCTCACTAGTCATCATCACCGCACTCATAGGGTGTCTGATTGCACTCGACGACGAACAGTGCGCAGCCCCACAACCGCTTCCTTTGTCAAGCCCTGGCTGGATCAGTTTTTCACCTGTCACCAAAATGTTCTTTTGCGTTACTTCAGTTACTAGTACTTAATGTTGCTGATCACGATGGTAAAACTTCATTTTCATTTAAGGCAACTGGAAGTCCGTAAAAACTTCACACAAAGGTGCCCAAAATTGTGCTGAAGTACTGCGTGATATTACGTTCGACTTGCCCTTCCCGCGTATCTTCGTCGTTAGGACGAATCAACTTAGTCTGAGTTGCACAAAGCACAGGGAGCTGACACATTGTACGCTGTAACTTATGAAACACACATTGCACCAATCCCCAGGATGTACACTCTACATGTTGCCTTTCCAATTTTGTTCGAAGTGAGATGTTTTTTGAGACTTGAGATTTGCTTGTCTGTGCCTCGTCACGGGGATGAGTGGTCCTGCGAGAAAGCCTGAAGTGTACTGTCTTCGTCTGGTGTTGTGGCCACCCAGTAGTATTGCTCCTTGAAGCGCTTAACATAACCATGATGACCGGGAAAATGGGTTTCAGGATGAATTTAATAACATATCAACCGAGTAAGACAGACTTCAGCATCTCTCTCTGTCTGTCTGTCTCTGTCTCGCTCGCTCTCTATTGAGAGTTGTTGCAGCTGTGAGCAATAATGACTGGAGCAAATTTGCAACGAATTTCATGAAGCACAGCAAAGGAACGATCTGGATGCCAGAAGCTTAGAATAATACTCAACACTTGGTGTGCCCCCCCCCCCCACATTTTTTGTTGTGAGGACAAAGACACACATGAAGGTATGTTGAGCATGATGCTACACTCAGTGACAATTTTGGACACCTTTTGCTTCAAGTTATCGACTTCCAGTTGCCTTTGAAGAAAGGAATTTTACCGTCTTGATCAGCAGTGATTTGCAGTGTGCAGCGCACAAAGAACAGTGTGCTCATATAGCAGCGGCACAGACCAGCTAACGGCAGTCATAGCTCTGCAGTCATGCATCCTCTATCCAGTGCAACAACGTTACAAACTGTCACTAAACGTGATGTGTGGCAGTGTTCCATATCCAATGATGTGTGGTTGCGTTTGATATCCAGTGATGTATTTCAATGCTTGATATCCAGTGATGTGTGGTTGTGTTCAATATCCAGTGATGTATTCCTGTATCCATGACTATACAGTGTAACATGAACCGTCACAGAGTACTATGTGCATATCGTGTGATCATCACATTCCACATAATTATGCAAAAACTGTTTATGCAAGTCCATAGACCGGTATGCACAAACCGTTTATCCAAGTCTACATATGCAAACACACAAATACACGGATGTCTCATCCACCAATGCACCAGCACCCATGTGCAATTTAAAACATACGCATACTTCGAAGTACACGCCAGACTATTGAGATGTACACATGATTACATGTATACACTCACATACCACAATTGCCCATGCAACCATCCACTTGCATTTGGCCTTGCATAATCTGTTTACAGTTTCAACTTCTTCAAATTTTTCATGGAGCTCTAATCTGAGACCAATGTTGCAGGTCTGGTTGGTCAGGCCATGGCCGGACCAACTCTTTGGCCACCAGCGTGTGTTTATTGCTGAGGAGGTCATGTGCACCCGCCATATACACAAGGTATGAAAGTATGCCGAGTATAGCCGGACCAACCAAAAGCTGCTTTCACCGGTCTTGTGCAGCAATCTGCGTTTTAAATGTTCGGGTTAAATTGCCCTTCGCAAAGGATCCGGAGAGTACCCCTAAAAAAAGGTTTCCAATACGCCAAGTCCAATGTGACAAATCAATGCACTCACCGTTTTCAGATATTATGGAACGCTGACAGGTCCGTTTGATCACAATGGGAGCAGCTATACAGATGAGGACAAAGATGACCACCACGAGAATGACAACTAAAAGATAATCGGATCCCTGTTTATTTTCTGCTTCAGCTTGTCCGTCATCTGTTATGGCAGGAAGTAGAGTCTTGCCTTGGCTACTCAGCACGCCATCACTAACACTATTGCTTGTCACCATGTCACTAGCAGTCTGGGCGTCCTGTGTGTTCCCGATCCGACGTGATACGGATATGGTACTTGCCACAGAAGGCGTAGTAACTACTGCTGCAGCACCACATACAACAAATAGCACAGCGCATGTATCATCAAAATGTGCTGTTGGTGACCATCTGCTGTCAACCACTGGGTTTTTACTTTTATAGTTTTCATGTTAGGACGGTTTCGCATGCAAACCCGGCTACAAACTGATCTACCTGTCCTGTGTGACAACCTGCCGTGTCCAGCCAGAAGGCTGCATGTCAACTTGCTGTAAGCGCATGACCGAACCTTGATAGTGTTTTTTCAAACTGACAGGCAAGGGCTAGCAACATAACTGGTATGCAAGGGTAATAATGGTTCAAAATGCACTGCACGGGTAAGTTGCATATTTTAAGTCACCCACTGACAGTATTGAAATGATAGCTTGGATAGACCCTGGTCCTCAGGATACTAGGTAGAACCCGCTACATGTACCAGTAGGACCATCATACACAGACATGCTGTATGGCCTGTGTTCTAACATGTATTCAGACATGGCAAGTGATGTCATGATTTCCACGAAAAGTGACAACATAGTAGTAATATTTCCACTCGGAAACTCTCGCCCAAAGGGTGCCCGGTAGACCAAAGTACCCGTAACTTTGGGCTCCGCCGGGATAACCGAGGTATGAGTGTATTTACAAATGATATCACACAATGATTACGTGCCAGTGCAACTTCAACGGGACCGTACCACTACACAACGTGGTGCCCTGGCAACTTCACGGGAACGCACCATTACAAAACGTGGTGCCCCGTCAACTCTAAACGGGGACGTACCATTACGAGCTTGCCTGGCAGCTTTACACAAGCACAACTGACAGACCCGGCAACAACAAATGGGTACACCATCACAATAATTGACTTGCAACACAAGCAGGTTTAATTCACCTCACCAAAATACCGCTGCCAGAACATCGTCACAGCAGCAGCAATACACCAGACATGCACATGTCTGTCCCCGGGGAAAATTGCGATTCCGCGGCCGCGTCTTTTTCCGCGTTTTTTTGCAATTTTTTGAAAGACCGCGTTTTCCGCGATTTTCCCGCGTTTTTTGAACTTTTTGTTGCACTACACGTACACACAGTGCACTGTTCGGTCAGCAACGTCTCATCGTGGCGGCTTTTTACTCAAATATGACGAGTGCTTACACCAGAGACTTGTAACTGATTGATTTCACTACACACTCACTGAAAATTGCCGCACATCAATATTATTCACTGCATATTTACTGCATATTTACCGCAAATTCACCGCAAATTATGCCATATTATGCCGCGTTTTCCCCCGCGTTTTTTTGCGATTTTTTTCTGCAAATTTTCCCCGGGGACAGACATGTGGCCCTCCAGCCCCTCAAGTATTTTAAACATGAGCACCAACCTTCATCCTGCGGCTGTAGTTTTTTTTTATCGCAGTGCAACAAGTTAAGCAGACATGAAACCCGGCCAGAGTTACGCAGCCACAGACTCATAGTGCTTGCTTTGTACGATATGACTCATGACCTTCAGAAAAGTTGATGACCACACAAAAATTCCGATGTAGGCTGAACCAAGTGGAGTTGCGCACTCTGGTTTATAAACTCTTGCTAGCAGCATAGTGTGACATACCTGGATTACTAACTGCAACCCATGCATAGCCAGAATAAGTAATCACCGGCGTAGAAGAGATAGCTTGAATCCCAAACATCTAAACAAGAAAGATTGAGTAAAACCAGCACAATATGAAAGAAAGCATTATAAAGAGACAGATCGAGGACAAACTGAGTTGCAGTGAAGCCTGTACCTAACGACACCCCTGGGGCTAAATAGAAGCAGCCTTTAGTGGCAAGTTTTTAAAGGGAGGTTGGGCGCCATGTGGCCATACCTGTAATCATAGATCCCTTGTATTATGGGATGATTGAGATCCGTATAATTATCATATAGATCCCATCCGCGATAAATATCAAAATGGAGCTAATACTATTTTAGTCTATTCCCCATCGCTTGCACAATTATATTCCTATGTCAGATCACACTGCATTTAGAGGGACTCAATTGTGCAGTTGCTACTTCTGAAGCAAGGAGTTAGGTATGTGCTGTAATGTGCAGTGATGCGAAGGGCGATGTTGTGAATTTTCACAAAGACCCAGCGAGTCCTGTATGATGTGGAGGTGAGCACCTTAGCACTGCGATGTGCATCTATGTGACGGAGGGGGGGGGGGGGGGGGGGTGCAATTTGACAGAGCCTCTGATTCATCACAAGCAGTAGGGCTTGCCGGTACTACTAGTGTCAGTAGAAGGAATGCAGACCACCGCTGCTACGCTGACTGCTAGAGCTACCCGTGCAGACAGAGCAATGACGAAAGCACCCGGATGCAGGCCATGTAAGACTGTGCGATTCCCACGAAAACAACGCATCACAAGATGTGCATGTATATCCCATAACCATCCTGGTCATAGGGGCGCCAGAAGTGTAACGAGCCAGCAATAGCAAAAGATATACACGCCGCCATGTAATAGCTGTAGACACCCTTGAGTACCAATGTCACAGTCCCAGATTACACAGCGGCCTGCTTGTGTGTACCTCCCCGGCTAACTTGATAGCACAGACAAGCAGTTGCAACTTAGCTCCAATGTGTGCCTCACCTCTACAGCCAGTCTACACATACATGTAGTCAAACTCGGCATTATACTCATGCAATAGAGATCTTGGCATATACTCATGCAATAGAGATCTTGGCATATACTCATGCAATAGAGATCTTGGCATATACTCATGCAATAGAGATCTTGGCATATACTCATGCAATAGAGATCTTGGCATATACTCATGCAATAGAGATCTTGGCATATACTCATGCAATAGAGATCTTGGCATATACTCATGCAATAGAGATCTTGGCATATACTCATGCAATAGAGATCTTGGCATATACTCATGCAATAGAGATCTTGGCATATACATGCAATAGAGATCTTGGCATATACTCATGCAATAGAGATCTTGGCATTATCCTAATCAAAAGAAGAGTGGTTGGCTGCAGGAACGTGACTGTATGGGTGTACATGTTAGGAGGCAGGATGATAATCTGCTTCTAGCCCATGCACTGCTCAATTTTGGTCACTGTCATTCGTGTGTCAGTTTTGTACTGCACTACTTGTAGCAGGCAGGCACAGTGGGTTGGTCAAAGACCATGATTGAGATACGAGAGGTACCTGGTTCAAGTCCTGCCTGGGAGCAGTTTTTCCTGCCGTGCTGCTACCCACTGCCAACTGGGAACTTGTGGCCAGGCACAAGGGGTACATGGATGCGGCTAATGGGGTCTTTCTTGGCACTTGTGCCAGTGGTTGTGAGACTTATCCACTCACCCCCACCGCTAGGCGCTGCATCTGCCGCTAGGGTTTACCGGGTGTTAGCGGCCGTCGAGAGTTCCCTTCGGGAACAGACATGATAATAGGGAGGTTCTGCTCTACGTTTTGGGAACGCGACGCAAAGAATCACGCGAACTTTCTTCGCGTTCCCGTAACGTAAAGAAATGCTGTTCTGCTCTACGTTTCACCTAGAGAAGTCACGTGGAATGTGTACTGGGAATTTCCCCTTCCATATTTGGCAGTTTTCTGCATGCAGTTGATCGATACCCAGCAAATCCGTACGCATTTTCTCTGCGTGTGCCACAACGTAGAGAACCTTATCTCCGCGTAGAAATCTGGAGCCAAAACACGCGAAGCCGTAGACTCTAACCCAGACACCTGCTCTCTACGTGATTTCTCTACGTTTCACGTATAGCAGAACCTCCCTAATTTACTTTATTTTTTACTTGTAGCAGTTCACAGATGCTACTCAACAAAAATGCCAAAATTCTGTAACTGAGCATGCATCCTTACATCACCACCAGTAGCGGGTAAAGCAGACATATTTGCTTGACAGATCTGCAACGGATACAAGAACATGCAACAGAACACGACAAACATATCGGCTGGGCCCTAGCTAGCTGTATGCGTATGTCAACTACTTTGAAGTATGCACTTTCACAGCACTCAGAGTCGTCCATATGCACGCAAGACAAACAGCGAACAGCACCCAGCAACCCTCCCCCACCACACCCCACGTACCACACCCAAGCCTATATATCTTCTCTTTAAAAAATTGCTTTTTGTGGATGGCCCATCACAAACCCACATGTTGTAAAACCCACCCCTAGGAATATCTTGGAGAAGCAGTTGGTCATGCATCCTCTAAAAGGTTGAACAGTCACGCCCCTAAACTGGACTACGAAATAACAAAAAAAAAGGTTACACACGCAAAGTACTATTTACCTTCTTGTCCTTGCATGAGACCATCATGCGATTCCCGGCATGCCGACCAGAGTTTCGAGAATAGAAGCGAATATTGTACTTGTGAGACGCAAATACAGTGTCATTTGGTGGAGACCACTTCAGCATCCCACTATCATAATCCAGCCAGCTTGGCTTTCGTATATCTATTGCAGAACAGGTATGTACCATTTGACAAAATGTCAATCACACGTATGCCAACATGCACGGAGTAAATTTGAAAAGAGGCCATTCGGAGAGACAGACAAAGTGATTTTCAATATCGGTAACTGAAAGAACAAAGCCCCCCCCCCCCCCCCCGACCACCAACACCACAACTAACAGGTGATGATTCTTTAGTGGCAAAACGAATTTCTTTCTTCTCCAGAATTCTCTAACTTACTACTGTGCTTACCACATTCGCATAGTCGCACATCAGTGTAATTGTCACTCTTGAATTGGCTCAACTGCTCAATGTTATCTAAAAAGTAAAAAATAAAAAGGATAAAATAAAGGAATGGAAGAAGAGCATGGCATCCCACCTCTATCACAGTGTCAGAGAGCAACATTATTCAAGTTGTGTGTCAGATCCAGTTCAACACTTGAGATAATACTGCTGCTGTCCGTTTGACCTCTATGACGGGATACAAGGTCTGAGCACCTCTTTTGGCTTTGCTCTGCATGCGGGGTTCGCTGCTGCGTGTGCTGCTGTGCGTGGACTTGTACATGATTTTACGTGTACAAACATTCACGTTATCATTCTTGGAAGGGCTTCTTCCTGAACTCTCTATCAGTGCCATTCCAAGAGTTGTTGCTGTGTGTGGGGGGGGGGGGAGAGCAGCGAAAGAGCCAAGCCGCAAGTTCTCGTTATAATCTGACGACAATATCGGCTCATTGCAACCGGACAACAATTGGCGCCCAACGCAGGGCTTGTACCCACGACCCTGAGATTTTAATGATAGCTTGCATGCCGTCCTACCGGTAGGACTCAAGGAATCGCACTGCAAAAGTGCTTTTGTTTGAGAATTTTCTTGAAACAATTGTTGAGATGAGGTCTTTATAAGGCAAAGTAATGACGCAAAATGCAAGACTATGTCCAGATCATTGCATATGTGCAATTTTATCAATTGTCAAAATGGGCGCACATGCTCCTGTCGGAGTGCTAGAAACTCAGTCCAAAGTGAATCTTGACCATGGCACATCAATCGTGGTGAAGTCCTAATGTTTCCTCAGCCTTCCATGGTTGTGAAATGCAAAATTCCATACTCCGTTTCCATGGTTACCATGGGCTATTGCCATGAAATACTGTAATATGCCTTGTATGGTCACGTCTAAAATGTGTGGACTCCTTCATTAGCCCCTTAGCAACAGTTTAGGGTCAAGTTTTAGGTCAATGTTAGAACAGAGACCATGCATGTCTGTGTATGATGGTCCTACCGGTAGGACCGAGGTCTATGCAAGCTATCATTAAAAGTCTTCACAGGTACTTACAAAACTCATTACAACCATGTCGAAATGCAAACCGATGTAGTGGACAGCCACGGTCACGACAACCTGCAACAAAGACAAGAAAGTACAAATTTATTGAAGGGGAAGTTAAGCCTAAGATCAAATTTTTACCAGATGTAGTCTTCGGGGTGCTGAGTCGAATGGTCTTGGTTCGAGGAAGCTGAGATGCTCCCTTCCTCCTTTATTCCAAATCGAACTCGCGCACTTCCACCAGGGTTCCCAGTAAAAAGGCAACGCCTGTTGGGAGTTCCCTAGTAAAATAATAAATTCTACTACTACTACTACTACTACTACTACTACTACTACTACTACTACTACTACTACTACTACTCCACCGAAACTGGGCGACTGCGCCCTACTAGATGGGGATTTGTATGCAAAATGTCAATAAAAGCGCCATTTCCGACTTATAAACGCACTGAGGACCGGGATTGGCCCATGCGTTGTAGTCTTTTGGACGCTGAGTCGACTGGTTTTGGTCCGAAAAGGCTGCGATGCAGCGTTCGGGCCTTGTTCCTGTCACGTCCCTGAACGTGACTACTGCTGCCTGATAGTCCTGTGACAGCAGGATCTACCTAGTGAGCAGCTCTGTGCTGAGCTGTCACGCCCTTTTGGGACAATGTGGTTTGGCCAGTGTCTTGTCCCACGTGCTTAGCATGTAGGTTGAGCGACACGCGCTTTCCCACATAGGTGACATGCCTTCTTGGCATGACATGTCATGTGATCCAAGGCCGGAACCTGGTCAGGTAGGTTCTCGCGTTGTACGTTTCCTGGAAGTTCTTCACTTCCTGGAAATGTGACCCCAGGCTTTGTGCAAAACCACGTCACTACGACGTTCTACAGGTTTCCACGATGCCTCGGCGCTTCGTGCAAAGAGCCAAGACTAATATGACATTGTATAACAAGAGCTAAGTGCAAGACAGGAGACGTGTGCAAGAACCAAAACCGTCACCGCAGTGACCGCACGAGAGGTCAGAGTATCACGCAAGCAAGACCAAGAATGCAGCAGAACTTACCATAAGAAGCCGCTGAACTATGGCACGTTGGGTGAGCGGGCTCCCCAACGTGACCCTCATATACTCACATTATGCTCTGACGTGGGTGAGCGGGCTCCCCACGTCCCAATTTGGTCTTTCTTCTCTCGATGTCTTTCTTTCTCTTTCTTCTCGAATGATCACCGTACGTATATTCTGCATTTCTGCTGACTGGCTGCGCACATTCCGGTTTGACTTGTTCTGCTATTTCCTGGAATTACCTCGCAATGATCACGCCATATATCTCTGAAGCACCCTATAAAAGAAGCTCTCATTCTCTCTTTTACTTCAGTTTTTAGTCCAGTCTAGTCTACTCTAGTCTAGTCTAGCAGTCGAGACTCTGTCTCAGCTCTCTGTCTTCGTTTACTTTGAGCTCGGATTTGATACTACTCACAACGTAAAACTAACAGTCTTTGTCTGTTGATCGTGTGGGGTTGAACTTGGACCAAGCCAGCTATATTGGTTGGCCCCTGGGTTGTGTTGGGCTTGTCGTGAGGCCACACGTACGTCTATATTCAGTCGCCGCTCGTAGTGATTTCGGGGTCCGGTCACTGTGAGCCGGGGATGCGACATTCCCAATCGAACATGGTTGAACAAGCGGGCACATGCTCCCTCGTACACCAGTCACCTGGTCACCGTGCCCGCAGGGTACAACTTACAACCTGTTTGGGTTCATTCCTGTCACCCGAGTTGAACTCGAGTTGAACGTTGGTGTAAAAGTTGTCGCCTGCTGGCCCAGTGACCAGGTGACTGGTGTACGCAGGAGCACGTGACCGCTTGTTCAACCATGTTCGATTGGGAATAAGGGCCGAACGCTTCATCGCAGCATTCTTGGACCAAAACCAGTCGACTCAGCGTCCAAAAACTACAACATATGGGTCAATCGCATTCATCCGTGCTCTTATAAGAACGAAATGGCGCTTTTAGTGACATTTTGCATTAGTGCTGAAAAGATTACATTTTTTCCTTAGTGGCTTAGCTGATACCATAACGATCGGCTTATCGGCTAAACGATTATTGTTTAAATATTACTGTCTTTAGCTCAAGACTACTCGCACATGGAGGGAACTCCAGCCCCTGCAGCTAGTGTAGACACATAACTGAGCCTGCCAGTCCTGCATGCTGTATGTAAAAAAAGTAGTGAGCCGAAAAGGCGGCGACGATGATCGCGTCAATGTTTCTTAGATTGCGCTCGTACTTTTACACGTACATCGATGTTGCAAGTGTACAGTCAAAATATAAGCGCGGGGCTTATAATGGAGATAATACGGTATACTGTCGCGAATGGCACCACCATTCGCGAATCTTTCTTGTACAGTGCTATAATTGTAATATATTCAGCCGTTTATGTCTATCTAACTCCCATATACTTCAAAGTAGGATGTGCCCTTTATGGATCCACACCCTGTATGGATCTGCGCCCTGTATGGATCTGTGTCCGTTATGTCTAGGTTCCATTATCGGACCTATGCACGCTCGTACGTATGTTTGTACATACGTACATGTCTCACTTATAGTGCTCTAAATCTAAATATAGATAAACCCCACATTCGAGCATTCCGTAACTATTCAGTATGTACTATGCACTTGTTTATGGTGTCTCTTCCATGCGTGGTCCTCATACGCACTGCCAGTGCGGAGACTTGTCGTTGTACTAAGAACAGTTACATTGCCACGGAAGCTAGTTACGTTACCTTCAGCATTGAGTTCCGTTCACGCTGCTCTGCACACTTCACGCCTACACTTCGAATACAGAAACGTAGTTGTAGCCCCTTTACCCCCTTTTGGTGTATTCTATTTGTTGTATTGCTGCGCGCACACATTTCAGCCCGCGCGCATGCTTTGGTCGTTTGTGTATTTGGTGTATTGCTGCGCATACACATTACCGCCTGCGCATACACATTACTGCCTGCGCGCACGCTTTGGTTTAGCTGTGGTATACAGCCACTTTTCACCATTCTTTCCTTTAGACCTCATGGTGGTCGCCACGTAGTTTGGTCTGTCCGCAACCAGCAATTACAACAGTTAACAGTATGATAACAGTGTTCTTGTAGCCGACATTATTATGCTCTCCCAATCTAAATCAGTTTGACATTATAACGTCTCGGCTAGAGTATACCACCGATATTGGTGGCATACCGTATTATCTCCAATATAAGCCCAGCGCTTATATTTTTTCAACCAGTCCGGATCCTGGGTTTATATTGGAGACTGGGCTTCTACTAGAGACTGGGCTTGTAATTTTTCAACCACCTGGTACATGTACATTGCCTATTATTTTCATTATATCAGTAGCAGGACGTTTCTCAGTAGGTACCTGGACTGCAGTTTTGTGCTTCCTGAACTTTAGATCTCGGGGATACAGACGTTTACCACAGCATGTGTTTATGTGATGTGTGACGTTAAACATGCATGGACATGATCCATACGGTTCTCTATTATAAGCCCTGCGCTTATATTGGAGACTGCGCTAGTATATCTTCGAAGCCCTCTTGGAATGCACTTATAATAGAGACTGGGCTTCTCAGTGACAAGAGACTGTGCTTGTAATAGAGATAATACGGTATCAGTAACTGACTCGGGTCAACTGTCTTCATGTAAGCACCGCCTATATTTTTCCATCGTAACGACTTTCAACCCGGGTTGAACATTCTCATGTAAACACAGCCTAAGTCCTTTTGCCACTCCCTGAGGGGTACGTCTAAACACAGCCTAAGTCCTTTTGCCAATCCCTGAGGGGTACGTCTAAACACAGCCTAAGTCCTTTTGCCACTCTCTGAGGGGTACGTCTAAACACAGCCTAAGTCCTTTTGCCACTCTCTGAGGGGTACGTCTAAACACAGCCTAAGTCCTTTTGCCACTCTCTGAGGGGTACGTCTAAACACAGCCTAAGTCCTTTTGCCACTCTCTGAGGGGTACGTCTAAACACAGCCTAAGTCCTTTTGCCACTCTCTGAGGGGTACGTCTAAACACAGCCTAAGTCCTTTTGCCACTCTCTGAGGGGTACGTCTAAACACAGCCTAAGTCCTTTTGCCACTCTCTGAGGGGTACGTCTAAACACAGCCTAAGTCCTTTTGCCACTCTCTGAGGGGTACGTCTAAACACAGCCTAAGTCCTTTTGCCACTCTCTGAGGGGTACGTCTAAACACAGCCTAAGTCCTTTTGCCACTCTCTGAGGGGTACGTCTAAACACAGCCTAAGTCCTTTTGCCACTCTCTGAGGGGTACGTCTAAACACAGCCTAAGTCCTTTTGCCACTCTCTGAGGGGTACGTCTAAACACAGCCTAAGTCCTTTTGCCACTCTCTGAGGGGTACGTCTAAACACAGCCTAAGTCCTTTTGCCACTCTCTGAGGGGTACGTCTAAACACAGCCTAAGTCCTTTTGCCACTCTCTGAGGGGTGTGACGTCTAATCCAAGCCATCCACTATACCTTTTAATGAATGCCGCCGAACACGGATGAGAGTTAGAAATTTAGAGTCATGTTCAGGCCTTTTCCTATGATTCAGCTAATTTGACAAAACCCGCAATTTGGCAGTGCTTTTTCGGTGCAGGCAGGTATAGTGGGATGGTCTAAGACCATGATTGAGCAACAGAGGGTACCAGGTTCAAGTCTTGCTTGGAAGCGGAAGGATTTTTTCCTGCCGTGCTGCAACCCACAGTTAATTGGGAACCCGTGGCCTGGCACGAGGGAAACATGGATGCAGCGAATGGGATTTTCGGTCTTTGACCACTTTGTAGTGGGTCTAATCTCTCACCTCCCACCACTTCGGAGCTACATCTGCGTCTTAATCCTAGAGGGTGGTGGCATTCCTGCCTTGATCCTAGAGGGTGGTGGCATTCCTGCCTTGATCTTAGAGGGTGGTGGCGTTCCTTTCCTGATCCTAGAGGGTGGTGGCGTTCCTGTCTTGATCCTAGAGGGTGGTGACATTCCTGCGGATGCGGAAAACTCGGCCTCCAGCTGAGTCTCCCGCGGACCGTGAATTATTTTGGCTGAAAACTGGACTCCTGCACTAACAGTACATAGCTGAGCCAGCACACATCTCTGGTAGGAAGAATGGAATGCTCGCTAGCCTCAGCCCCAATTGAAACCCGTTCAATTATACATGTGCAGCACTGGCATTTACAGAAAACTGTCAAATTTCTTACTTGTTAGCTCAAATGTCTTGGTAATAGTTGCCAGCTTATGACTGACGGCAGGCAAAGAGGACACCTATGAACAAATCCAAAGCAACACCCCCAGTAGAGCAACAAGCAAAGCAAGCAATATAAACATCTGCAGTAAGCTGATAATGTGTTGGGATGAGCACCATAAGGTAGTACATGGATGTCAGGTGTTGTTACAAGAACTTTAAAACACACACGTGCATGTTCAGGCCGAGTTTTCTATGCAAAATACATTGAGTGCGTAACTTAGCTACTAGCTGTGCTACGCTCAGTCGAACGTCACATGCAGGTGCAAGTCAGTTACGCAACAAGAATATAGATTCCAATACTACTGAAAAACATCTCATTTACTGTATTCCTTACATGAAGTTGACATCGAGCTGTTGCATCTTGCTTTGCAGAGCGGTAGAATTCAGCGTAAATAGAGCTATGCAAGCAGTTGTTTGGTAACCAAGAATACCTGTCCTTACAAGCATACGGTGTGACTTGGACCATGGTCATCTCCTGGATGAACATTTTGTACACATGTACATGTATGCCAATCCAAAGATTATGACAAGTCCAATACATAAGATAAATATTTTAAAATAAGGAAGGGGGGCCCGTGGCCCGTGGCCCGGGGGGGGGGGGCAAGGGAAAGAAAGGGAACATGTAACGAGCGAGGTAGAGATAAGCTGGACCAATTGGCCAGCAGTTCAGCAGCGGAAAAGTAGAAATTGATACACTGTACTTTTCCAGTTGTAGGACTGGATCTGTGTGAAGAACACTACATGCTGTGAGCAAGACCACCAAAGGCTTCTGTACTGGTCTGCACAACGCAACACAGAAGTTGGGTGCAGTTTAGGTCATGGTTGACAGAAGATGCCCATAACCCCTGATGGTATGCGTCGCAAAGCATACAGTGAGGCTCTAAACTAAGGACAGGGACAATAAAAAGTAAGGCGGTTGCAACTAGGCAGCCATGTGTCCTTTCGTATTCATAAATCAACAATGTAGAAAGAGACTGTGTTGCTCCTTACATAGGATCCCACCCTTTCCCTGCAGGCTTCATTTTTTAATCACGTGACTGACTCGCAACTGCCATTCTGAGCCATGATGATGCGGAAGTCCATCAAACCTTACCCTTCGCAAAACTGCACGAAAGCCCCACTCCTTGCTCAATACACAGTGTTTCAGGAATTCACCCTCATTAGTTGAGCTCGAGTAGGATAATGAAATTTGTGCTGCAGAGGCTTCATTCAGCATGCCAAACATCACCAGGGACACCAGCCGCTACAATGCGACGCTCCGTTTCCAGCACAACAAACACCTCACAAACTCCAGACGCCGATGTGTGTCAGTGTCGCCTGCGGACTGAGTGCAGAACAAGCGCCGAGGGGAAGTCGGCAGGAAAAGTGCAAGCTCCCACGTATGAAACAACACACACTTCCTCTATCATTGTTGAAGTTGAAATGCAAGCTATACTATTGGTTACTCAGTAGTGGATCGTTCTTGTGGATAGTAGCACGCGGGTGTGTGGCATAACATTTACCTTGCTATTCAGTTCAAAACACTCTGTGGAAGATATCAGTGCAGTTGGTAGTGATTTGCTCTCTCTGTTTTCCCACTGGCACGATAGGCTTAGTCTATATCCAAATACATCCGAATCTGAAAACAGAAAAATTTAGAACGGCTTGGTTTAACCAATAATCAGTATAGCAGCAGCATAACAGTCAAGTATAGCAAGCACAACAGTCAAGCAAACTTCATACATGTAGACAAGAGAAACGAAGCACATCCCTGTTTTTGTTGTTGTTTTTTGGTTTTTTGGTTCTGCTGGTCTCATTCAATACTGCCAGCAATGACAGCCATGTACCAAGTGACTGCATACTTCAGGAACAGCTGTTTAGAGAAACTTTGAAAGCCCCGTTTTCTCATATGGATGCACGCAAAGTCATATACACGCCATGGAAAGCAGGAATCAGTGGGCTTTGTTCAATTCCAAGAGCTTGAAAATCAGTTGAAACCCAATAATGAATATCCTGAATGGATTGGCTTCAATCAATTTTCATCAAGTAGCACACATCGGGATAATAGGTGATTTGTAAGTTCCTGGGCAAATGCGTTGGTCATGGCCAAATGCGGAACACTGTGGCGACTCATTGCATGCTGGCAAATTCATCGCCCTAGCCAGCACTTCTTGCTGCACTATCTACGTGACCACCATAGAGATCCACCTACCATTCAGTGGAGCTGTCCACAGGAATCTCAACTCATGGCTTATTTGCTCAACTGTGAGATTGTATGGAGCTAGATTATTGGCATTGCAGTGGGTCATTTTTGTGTGCCATGCTGTCCAATCACGACAACCTATAGCATAAAACACCAGTTAATTCAAACAGAGAAGAGAACATGGCTAGGCTGTCCAATTTCATCACTGTGCCAAAGACTATAGGAGACCCATGAATAATGACGTGTTCACAATGTGATGTTTTCAAGTCCATCCAGAGTCTGGAAAATTCAGGGTACATTGATTGTTGGGCAGTTCAATAGCCAATTACCGTATTTTCACCAATAAAAACGCAGTCTTCAATAAAGGCACAGTGCACGCATGCATCGAAACATTTTAACGCACTCTCCACATACAGGCATGCAACAGGCTCAGAACACAGTGTTGTCTGGTTGCCATATCAGGGATATTGGGCGGAGCAGCAGGCGTGCACGAGTCAGCCTGCAGTTAGTCAGGAGCTGTGACTTGAGTGTAAGAGAAAGACAGGTCGGCCTGCTTAGCGTAGGAGCTGTGGCCTGAACGAGAGACCGTCAACCTGCCGTGGGCAGGAGTTGTGACCAAGGCACATGCAACGTTGTACGAATGCACCGGGAGTCTGCCTCCCGCTTTTTATGTTGGTTACTGCCACAAAATATTTATTCTGTGCCACTACCGCTTTTCGTATCCTTAATTTCTGGTATGGACAATGGTATTTAACGTTATTAGGCCATCATTTTTTATAGCTATGTTTCGCGTCGTCCGCACGCATACGTTTTGATTTTTTCGGAAAAAATAAAAAATCGAACATGCACAGTGAGTGTACGATCGTGCGAGCCATCAGTGTGGACAGGTTGCATACGGCGAAGCTGGGATTCAGAAATGGCCTCTAGCCTAGGCCAGCGTTGGTAAATCGTTTGTTCGGCATCTGGGAGCAATATTCTATGAGCTTACACCAGACCGCATTGATCGCCTAAGCTGAGAGGATGCGTCGTTCCGGAGCTCTTTGCACCGCTGCTGAAGTCTGAGTACAATATTCCAGCGAAGCATAGGCACCATGACCAACGGTTGCCTCCTCTGTGAATATTTACTCATGCTGATAACCCAGATGTTGTGCTTCGATGTACGATTTTTCTTTCGAATGTACACCATGCACGAGCTATTGTGCTATGTACAGTGCATACACCTCTGATGAGCCTTTTTTATTATTTTGCAACTTTTTTATTTTTTTCCACCTCGCGCATATTAATCTGGAAGTTGAACTGACGCGAAACATAGATATAAAAAATGATGGCCTTATTAGAAATATGAAGAAAAAGATCACTCCAAAAACAAAACAGGAACACGGCAAAATGGGCTTGAAATTATAAAAGCACAGTCTCCAATAATAGCACGGGTCGGAGGGTGGTTGAAAAAAAAAGAAGAGATGCGTGCTCTTATTATTAGAGAAAATACGGTAAGTCATCTTTCTAAGATTTCGGAACAAAAACTTTTCGAAAACGTTTCAAAACACTTTGAATTGCGTTTCCATTTCATTCCGCTTCGGGGTGCGCTGTCGCGCGTTTTCGTGTAAACGACCATAGCAAACGCAACGATTCCATTCCGTTTCACCCGCACTCCGTTGTCGTGTAAACGCAAATCATTGTCATGTAAACACAGCCTAATTCCAACGTAGTTTACATGTCCATTGTACCGCATTTCTGGTGATGACATAATTGCATGCAACTAGGTAGCCATTATAGTCACTATCAGGGTTATGGGCAGAAAAAAATCGGGGGGGGGGGGGGAGAGGGGGGAATCAGGGGACCCGAAATTTTCTCATTTTATCGCCATTTCGTGCCGCCATTTTGGGCGCTAATTTCACCGACACCAGTAAGCAACCGACCAACTATTGTACTTCCATTCCGTGTATTTATTCACCGGCCACTGGAACCCGCCATTGATATGGTTATAGAGGTAAGTAATCATAATGATGCAATGATGCAATGATGCAATGATGCAATGATGCAATGATGCAATGATGCAATGACCCATACAATGCTTACTACATGTACATGATGTGCACTCCTCATCATGCATATAAAAATATGGCGCCGCACTCTGAAGGGTGGCGCATTCATTTTGAAAGGAGGCGGTCGAAAAGTGAAGGAGGGTGCAGCGCCCTGCTAGGTCGCTTTGGTGAGAACCCTGACTATGAGTGCAAAATGGCTCAATTTGGAGCCTCTTTGATATGAGAACCGCCTATCGCAGCCTCTTCATACCAAGACCATACCAGGCTTGGTCAAGAAGACTAAACATCCTGAAATATTCATTTATGCAGTACAGGCTATCCCGGCCTTGAGACCTGAGCTCTGTACATATTCTTCCCCCTTCTTAGCACAGAACCTCCCACAGGGAAGACAAAATTACTTTGGATTAGATGGTTAAAGTTGCAAGTGTGAGTAAACCCAAGAAGCGTGAAGTGCGGTGCACCAAAAACAGAGAACAAAATGGACAAAACTAACGAGTTGTTGACAACCTACCTAACAGCCTAAGCGTAAATCTAATCGGCTTCTGTATACATAGTTAGGTTTCTTGCTGTGATTATAAACAGCTTCTAAAACATTCAACAACTTCGCTCTGCGTAATGTAAACAGAAGCCGATTAGATTTACGCTTAGGCTGTTAGGTAGGTCGTCAACAACACGTTAGTTTTGTCCATTTTGTTCTCTGTTTTTGGTGCACCGCACTTCACTATATGCTTACTTGACGGTTTCATGCCCAAGGAAATCTTCAAGAACGCGACAAATAAACTCAGGACTCAAAATTTACAGGCATATACTACCTACATGACATATTGCTGTTGTAGTTACAGCATGTGCGGTGGTTAGTCACGGGAAGAGAAGTGCACTTTGGCACCGGCGTAGCAGCTGAAACACCATCACCGGAGGCATCAACTATCACACTACTGGCATCCCGGATTACATTGAAATAGAAGACTAGAACCACTATCATCTTGAGACTGCTTCGAAATGCCTGCCGACATGGGGAAATAGGGATGACAGAAGACACGAGAATCATGACAACATTGCAACAATAATCTTATCATGATAGCAATGCCCAACCCGGCATTTAACGGGTGACTACTTCCAATCTAATCTGAGCGAATCTTACCTATATAAAAAAAGTGAATGGGCAGATGGATGCAAGATACAGTATGCGTAACTATCCACCACTGTAACCATGGTAACTAAATGATGCGCATTCAGAAAGTGTGATAACTAGGCACACAACTGACAGACCACTGAGATATTGGCAACAACCTTACACCTAGCTCTAACACATGTTGCAATTCCAATGTGTAAACCAACAGCATTCAGCTTACTTCTGACTGCTTAAGATCTACTATGATGTAGATCTTAAGCAGTCAATTTTTAATATAGTTGCAGGGGTGGAGAGTTACACATAACTCGTATTCATGGGTCCTTTTACTTATATTTTCTTATCAGCTCAGTATACGAATCTTATCTAATCATCATTTTGTTTTAATCAGGTACATGTCAGGATACAAATGGCACTGATAATAGGTTTTAGGGCATGGCAGCTCGAGCCCTATGGTTATTAAGAGCAAGGCCGCTGTCCCGTCGTCTAGGAGATGACCAATCAGCGACCTTACCGCCAAGAGCCTTACGAGGGTCTACTGCCCGCTCAATCGTAATTTTACTGAATGTGCCGTCTAAACAAGTGCGTACAATTTCAAGTACACATTATAGTACGGTGCAGACCATGAACTATGCAGAAAATGTACAGTGTACAACTAAAATCTACGCACCCTGAAGACTACAACTGGTGATAATTTGATTTTTAGGGTATACTTCCCCTATAAGCGAGGATATCTCCTTTGTCTGCTTCGATGCTATGGGAATAATAGTGCATGGCAGATCAGGCCTAAAGGCTTGATAGCACCTCCATGTTAGCCCGGGGCTAACCTGTTGAGCACTAACAAGCCCTCCCTGCCATGCACTGTCCTATAACATTAGTGATTTAGCAAGTTAGCCCCAGGCTTGTTGGCCTGAGGACTGCTGTGCAGCTCCACTGCAGCAATGTCGCATGATTGTATGATTGATATCACAAGGAAAATTTCATCTAGCAAAATTTCCGCTCTGGCAGGAAATTCAAATCCAGGAATGGACACTGTCCTGCGGAAGTTACGCTCTTGGGACAGTTTGACATTTATGTGCTTTCGAGGTGGTTGATTTAAAAAGCCTGAGGATCTGCTGCTCCACTTGTGCATCGTAAATACCTGATATGAAGAGAGATGTACAAAAGCGGTGGTACTATTGGATATCGGAGAATCCGTGAGTGGAAACCACACGAAAGCAGGCCACAGGAGGACAACTTGTCCATTGTGATAAAGACTGGGAGTAAGAAATTAAGAAGGGTCTGGGCTATCGTTGTCAGACAAAAGAGAGAGAACTCAGAGCTGTGGCCGTTGTGTGTGTTAAAATCGCAGTCACCTTTCGCTGTATAATGGTTATAGAAATTTTATTTGCATGCTGTTGAGGCACCAAAACATCGAATTTCGGCGAATTCAGTGCGAAATTGCATAATCGGGCGAAAATATCGGTGACTTCTTCAAAACCACTGTTTTTGGCGAATTTTTCCGCCGGCCGACTTGGGAAATGCCTAAAGACTAAAGAGTGAAGAAAAAGCTTGACCAGAGACCGTTGCCCTACTGGCATCAACAGGCAAAGGCAACTCTCTACCCTATGTCCACCTAGCTAGTACTGACTTAGTGCATGTGACGTTGAACTACATTCCACCTAGCTAGTACTGACTTAGTGCATGTGACGTTGAACTACATTCCACCTAGCTAGTACTAACTTTGTATCTGTGAATTTGAATGAATTGTGTGTCACATGCTCATGCGAGACCACACATGCATTTTGTCGCAGGAATGTTGCGTGAAACGACATGCGCAAAATCTCAGTTGTCACCACTAGTGCACTGTGAATCCTCTCCTGTAGGTTGGATCGTGGCCAGAATGCTCGGATGAATGTTACAGTGTAGCTGTCCTTCCCGACAACTAATTACTTGAAATGTGACAGGAGAAGCCTATAACAGTAAAGCTATACCCAGTCACATTTCCTATCATCTTAACTTAACTACCACACATAAGACAATTTGTCTGATCAAGTGAACAAGAAAATGACTACCGGTATGTTCTTGTACTTGATGCCAAAAACCTTCCAGAATCAGACGAGCATATGCAGCCGGAGACAAGTAATATTATCATTGTGGAATTGGTGATGACAGGCCCTCGGAATGCAACAGTTCCAGGTGACCCCGCCTACAGATAATGCCTTATATGCCACTTGGTGCCAGTTGACCCACCCACACCACATTAGAAACTCATTTGTTTACCTAACAGAACAGACACTGGAATTACGATAAACGACCCACGGATGTCACAGATCATAATATATACAGTGGCTATAATTATAGTGTACAACTTGCACTCACAACTGGCACTCTTTATGTTTGAGTTCGGCCAGTATACCCCAGTATACGAGACTGGCACGTACATACACATTGTGAAACAATGTCCGATGCATTCTCGGCATATCGGATCGTGTACATACCAGTGCTTCCATGTACTCATATTGACAGATTTGGAGCATACGAGTAGAACACTTCCGTGCAGGCACGGCACTCATAAGTTGCACACCTCACTGAAGCGCATGCAACGCAACCTGCACGGTCACTTGTCACTTCTAGAGGAGCCACCCCAACTCCACGAGTAAATGATTGCACTGCAGGTGGCTGACCGTGCCACCAAAACATACATTCCGACGCCCCTGCATGCACAGTGGCACGGTTGTACAGTGTGTCAGTGGGGCAGCAGTACACATGCACAGTGGTGCAGCTGTACACTTACACAGTGACACAGCGGTACAGTGCGGCAGCGGTACAGTGACACAGCGGTACAGTGACACAGCGGTACAGTGACACAACGATACAGTGCGGCAGCAGTACACTTGCACAGTGGCACGACGGTACAGGGAGGGGGGGGGGGCAGCGATACACTTGCACAGCCTGTGCAGCGGGACAGTGACACAGCGGTACGGTGGTTGAGGCAGTGGCTTCGTATCGGAGCGCGCCAGAGCGGATTCAAATTCATGTCCATCTTGGCACTTGTACTTTGATTCGAAAACGCTATCACCGTGAGACTAATTCAAGGTAAACAGTCAGGGGAAATTAACTGGCAGAAACGCGAGAGAGATAAAATGTCAACCCCACCAGGACTCGAACCCGGGACCTTGCTTGTCAAGACCAATGCTCTACCCAACTGAGCTATGGGACCAGGCCAAACCAGAAGGCGCGGACAAGTGTTTCACTCCTAAGTCAGCTCACAACACGTGCCACACATACTGGTGGCACTTGGGTCTTTTCCCGTCCCTGGGGGACAACCATGATCAGTTTCTGGAACGTACCACTAGAGTCCTCCGGGGTAGGGAAAAGACTCAAGTGCCATCAGTACGTGTGGCATGTGTTGTGAGCTGCCTTTGGAGTGAAAAACGTGTCAGCGCCTTCTAGGTTTGGCCTGGTCCCATAGCTCAGATGGTTAGAGCATTGGTCATGACAAGCAAGATCCCGGGTTTGAGTCCTGGAGGGGTTGGCATTTTTCCGCCTTTTCTAGCAGTTCACTTCCCCTGACTGTTTAAATTGAATTCGAAGTTTTAATTCCATTCCCATTTCAATTCCCATTTCAATTAATCACAGTGAGACTACAATCATGGATGTGTTCTCTTCAAAGCCAAATATGGCTCTGCACTGATCAAATGGCTCTGCACTGACCAAATGGCTCTGCACTGACCAGAGGTGCCATTCCAGGCAGGGGAGTTTTTGACGTGCTGCTTCGCACTGCAACTTGCCCGCAGTTCCAGTCATGTTTTTGTACAAGTAGTGTCTGTTGGGTTTATATGGTGCCGGTACAGGATACATGTATAATGGGGTACCAAAGCCAGCTGCTGTCTGTCACCACGTAATTGTTGTACATGTGGCTGCGCTTGTGTCTCTTCGTTGTACATGTGGTTGCACGTGTAGCTCTTTGTCGTACATGTGGCTGCTTTTGTGTCTCTTTGTTGTACATGATGCTGAGTCGTGGTACATGCTGCTGCGCTGTTTTTGACTCCTGCGTACATGCGGCTGCACCGTCTTCTGTCCCCGTTGTGTACACACTTGCTCGTCTTGTCCCCGTTGTACGCCTTCACTATAATATATTCTGTTGTCTCGTCTTGTCTCAGTGTCAGTCGTTCGTTGTTCGTTGTCAGAGTTAGTTCTTCATCAAACCCGTGACGACATAATCTTTGCCATTGCACTGCATGCCATCATACAGACATGTACTGTAAAAGCCATATAATTATAACGAAGTGCTAACTCTAACGAGTTAACGAGGAGAAATCTGTCGTTAAAATAGAAATCGTTATACAGAAATCGATACATATACCGTCCTATTGACCGTTGAGAATGAGTGAGAATCGTTACCTTTGGTACACGTAAACTAGTCAATTTGGGGAAATCGTTATAATTATATGCGCCTCGTTAGAATAATGGCTTTTACAGTACGTCACTCCCATGATTTAGGTTTCTTGGCAATGCCTGGTTCCACGAGATGTTGTTGCTGCCATGCCCGCCCGTGATCAGTGAGTCATGTAAGTAGATGCGGACAAGCAAAGCACTGCAAGTAACTTAGTTGATATTGCACATTAAAGGGCTGCTGTGCCCTATCTCTACCCTATCTCTACCAGATGTACTACACCACTATACCAGTGATATCATACGCCTGGGCAAAGCGCAGGAATATAATTACGGCAAGTACCCCTGAAAATACGGCACTTCAGAGCCAATGCTTGAGAGAGTCAATGTAAAATCAAATCATTCAACGTACAAGACCTAAAGGCAGCAAGCTGCAGCATGGTTGAATCACAGCCCTGGACTTCTATTTAGTTCACAGCATACTCTAATTTCAGAAA